TATATATATATTTAACAGTTATCAGACTCTGGGTGTATCACTGGAAGACCAGGCAGACCTAAAGATATATCCAGCCCTGTTACTTTGCTGAGCCCTAACGTTCTCAGATGAAGATGCTCAATGAGTCATCAGAGTTCATTGTAAATAATGAACATTCTACCAAGAGGAAATGGTTAAATAAATAGTGGCTCAATGGCCTATATGTGGTTACTAAAAATCTCAACTTACGAGAGAAAGTAATAACCCATAAGGATGCTTTTCCTTGTGTGTAATTTTTATTTTGACTTAAATTTTTTTTTGTTTTGTTTTGCCATAGGGCATGTGCACTTGCTGGAGAAAGAAAGAAAAAAAGAGACACTCCCCCACCCCCTTCCCAGGGAATGGTCATGCTGCAATCACTTCTTCTCAATTCTCTCCTCAGGATTTTGTGTATGCACTCACACATGCCCAATGTAGTTTTCAAGTCACTGGGTTTTGGACTCCAACTGCATAGTCTGCCATATAGGATCCAGCTGCATTAATCACCATTCCATTAGCTGGCCCTTCCCTTGTAATTTGAAGTGAAAAACAAGTTGAATGGGATGTAGTTTTAAAAATTGAAGATAATATTAAAAATGAAAGGTAATATTGAGATAAAACACAAAATTGTACCTATGCCATGATTTCAGATACGTACAGTAAAAAAATGCATGTCTACATATGGACATGGACTGGAAAAGAGCATAGGAAAATTAAAATTAAAGAACTATAATGTTTGCTTATAGGGTCTGATTCAGAAACCATTGTCATTTCTGACTTTTGGTCACTGGTTTGTTTCAATTTATGTTATATTTATGAATATGCACAATTTGAATGTAAAAAGAATTTGTTCCTGGTGTTCCTAGTAGAACATAGAGGAATGAGGGGTTCTTACAAACTCACTTTTTCTTGTTCTCTGGTGTCTTTTAGGCCTTCCCATGACTGACTGTACCAGTACAATGTGATAACCAGGCTAAGAGGTTTGCATGAACTGGGGAACAAGGAGCATAAGGAGAAAGCAATCAATGGACAGAGTTGGAAACCTGAATTCCAAATGTGGTGCTGCTACTGCCCTGCATGTGACCTTTACTAAGCTCCCTTTCTTCTCATGGCCAAAGTTTCTCATTGGTAAAAGATGTTAATAATACTGTTATTTTTTTTCTTTAGAGAATTTATCTGTTAAAAAAGAGATAAAGAGTGCTAAAGAGTTTTATAAATTAAAAAGTGATAAAAGAATGGGTTGTTCACCAACACCACTACCATCACCACCATGATGACGATGATTATTGTTGATAAATTTATTGCTTCCCTACTCTAATTTCCTCCTTAAGGAGTTTCTAACACTCACCTAAGTGCATTAGGGCCTCCTTGTCCCATGGCCAAGTTGCTACTCCCGCCAACTCCTCCTCTGAGGAGTTTGCAAAGAAAATATTGAGGTGTGTTGATCCGTCCAATCTAAGAATGCTCTTCAGCTCATTAACATCCAAGTAGGCTCTGAAACAGGAAAAAAAAAAACCTTGGCTGTTATCATGTCTAGAAAAGGTACTAGTCAAAGAACAGGCGCTTTCCTAATAAAAAGCTACTAAGTGCCAGGCATTTTGCTAAGCACTTTATAAACATCACATCATTGAGTTCTCTCAATATTATTATAAGTAAGTTGATCCCATTTTACAGGTAAGAAAAGTAGGTCCTTGTGAGTTTAAGAGACTTGCCAAGGTTGCCAAGCTTATAATTATCAGGGTTCAGTATTCCTCCCCCATCTCCAGAAAGCATATGTGTGCACCTGTAATAAGAGAGAAAGAGAGCACGAGCACTCTCCAATGGGGCATGGTCATGCTACAATCCCTTTTCTTCTATTTCTCTTTCTCTCAGGA